AAAACTATTATTTTTAGTTATTTAGGAGATAAAGTAGAAAATGAGATTTTTCTTAAGTTATTGAATTTTAGAAGATTAAATGTTTACCATTAGTAAAATCCTTTGAAATTATATTCTTCACTCTTCAAATATCGCCATTATATTCCAAAAATTCCTTTATTCCTGATTATGTTTTCTGTGTACCTATTAATCCCTAGAAATAAATTATGCATCTTAAGGACTAGTTGTGCTCAAATAATATCTTATAAGATTATATAAAGTCAAATATCTGCAGAGGGGGGAAAATCGGTCTTACAAATAAGGATATTCACACCCACTTTAAGTATCCTAAAAATTCTTCACATTTCTTTATTTTACCAGAACATAGGAAATTTTAGTGGTATTTCAGTCTCCTTGTATATAATGTCTATCAGATGATCTGCTGCAGCTTTGTGCTCATTTTCATCATGTCCATGTGAGACAGGGGAGCACATAGTCTACAAATATTTACTGACCCGACCTCTACCCATCAAGTGGTTCCTTTGCACACACCATTTTCTGGAAAGGAAAAGACATTTGCTGCAGGCTCAAACTGCATTTGCTGAGATGGGCCTGATCATTTCCCTGCCCTGGTAAACACTTAGAAACCATTTTCATGGTGGTGCATAGGGAAGATTTCAGAGCTTCACATGTTGAAGACAGAATATTTTAGCTTCCCCTAAAGAGACAGTGAGATGGTTATTCTCTGCATTCATATATACTTGTATAGTGAAGCTTTAAAATTTTTGCTTATATAGGTATTTAGTTTTTCTGACCAAAAAAAAAGCTCATATTAAAAGAAAGAACCCTTCATATTTAAGAAAATTAAATATTACACTGTAATTAAAAACTACACTCTCTTTTAATCTCCCTATTTTCAGTTTGTGAATGTGCTATGATCCTTTCTACCTCAGGGCTTTATATTTGCAGGTGGCTTTGCCTGGGCTCTACCCCTCCACCACAAAATCTATTTAATGACTACGCATCTTCCAGAGCTTAGCTCAATTGTCGCTTTCCTATCTTCACCCTCTCGTCCCCATCCATCCCACACACTAAGTTCAGCACAATGGATCCTTTTCTTTAACAACATGTTGTTTATAATTATCAGTATATCATATAGATCATATATATATTATTATTATTTTTATTATCATTGATTGATGCTTATCTTCCCCACTAGACCATTCGCTCCAGGAGTTTCTGTTTTCTGGTCATTACAACCTGAAGATATTGCATAGTGACTAACAAAGAATAGGTATTCAATAAATAGCCCATGAGTGAATGAGCGAAATTAATGAATTTTATTTTTTTTTTTAATTTTTTTTTTCAACGTTTATTTATTTTGGGGACAGAGAGAGACAGAGCATGAACGGGCGAGGGGCAGAGAGAGAGGGAGACACAGAATCGGAAACAGGCTCCAGGCTCCGAGCCATCAGCCCAGAGCCTGACGCGGGGCTCGAACTCACGGACCGCGAGATCGTGACCTGGCTGAAGTCGGACGCTTAACCGACTGCGCCACCCAGGCGCCCCAGAAATTAATGAATTTTAAAATGAATCAACTATTTTGGAGATGGTAAAGAAGACAAGTTCTTTCTATTCTGCTTTCCACCCAGCCACTCCTTTATGATCTGTCTTATTTCCCAGATACTAAGGAAAATCTCTTAAAAATTTGTTTTCCAAGATCCAAGCAATATCCTAGACTTACATATAAATACTCACTATGTGCTTATTGAATGAATGAATGAACGACAAATAAATATATATGGCTGAAATATCACTATAGCTACAAAAATGTTACTATATGAATTTACAATGGAAGACAGAGGAGAGGAATAAATATTTTACAAATTAAAAAAATATCATGACTTCTGTTTAATGAAAGGGGAGTAAGGGCTTACAGCAAGTAAGTGCATAGCTGAGAGAGGTATGGGGCTAGATGGACTCAAAACAAAGTGAAGTTTCTATAAAGAGAATGATCATCTTTAAAACTAGTGCTACCTGGTCTGAAGATAAGACAGTGTCATAGACCAATGGAATAGAAGAGAGACTCCAGAACTGGACCCACAAATGTATGGCCAACTAATCTTTGACAAAGCAGGAAAGAGTATCCAATGGGAAAAAGACGGTCTCTTTAACAAA